AAAAACACTGCGTATAGATTTATATAAGTTTATCAGGAATATACTAAAAAGACTGAAATCTATAGAAAAATAGAAGTATTTTAAAAAATACACCAGTCTTGTACCTAAAAAGCTCTCTATTCTATTACTTGCATGGTATGCTCAAAATAACATATATTAGTATGTATACATTATCTCGTAATTTTATACTCAACATGTAAAAATACGAACACTTGATATGCTCAAAAGTTTCTGCAAGTTTCTTATTTATGTTAGATAAGCGCCAACCTGTATGCTATTTCGAGTACTCCTATATAAAATAAGTATTTAATTTACTAGGTATTTGTTTACGTGTATACAAATAGGTTATTGCAGAATTTTGTTAAGAAATATTTTAAAGCAATGCCCATAGGTATTGTTTCCCAATTTAGACATTTGAGTTTAAAATATTTGAAATAACACCTATGAACATTACTTTATGAAAAAAAAAAAAAAAAAAAAAAATAGAAAGAATAAAAAATTTGAAAATAATATAAATCAAAATTTATTAAAATCTAATAAAATGACACAATTGTAAAAAAAGTCAATTAAAATATTTCACAATTCTCATCACTTACTTATAAAAGTTTTTTTAAACCCAACTATAAATTTATTTTTCTTTTTGAATGTATTCTGGCTCGATAATATGCCAAAATATAAAGTTATACTTATATTGTAGGGTGAAATTATACAAAATTTGTATTTTGGGCCGAATGCTAAGAATTAATGGATTTCTTGCCTAACTAATAATGATGTAACATACCTCTATCTAGTTTGTCTTGGTATAAAAACTCTAACTATAATAAATCAGCATGATTTCATAATTACAATAGTTTAAGATAGTTTTGAACCTGGCTACATATGTCAATATGAAGCATTGCAAAGTAATATCTGCAAAAGTTCATTAGAAGTAATTACCTCTACCTATCAACAAACTTTTTTTCAAAAACTAGATTCGATGATCTTTTAGTTATGGGATTCAACAATTCAGAAATATGTAAAGCATTACTTACTGATATCTATTTTCATCTTTTAAAATTAGAAATATAATAAATTTGAATATTTTTGGAATTAGTAAATCAAACAATCCTAATTGGAAATATGCTGAAAAAGGATATCAAAGCTCTTTTATATATAATTTTCGCAAAACTCGAGCATTATTTTTTCAGAAATTTAGTAATAAAGAAGCAGTTGTTAAAATATATCAAAATTCTCAAGAAATATACATCTTTTGTGATATTGACCCTAATATAGTTTGGAATCAAATTGGTATATTAATCTAATTTACAAGATGCATGCTATTTGGACTTGAACATAAACAAACAAAATCAGAAATCAATAATATACAAACTCTAATATGTACTGTAGAAGATTGGCAAAGTGAACAGATTATGGACAAACTTTTTAATTATTATCTAAAAAAATTTATTGTTGGTCTATAGAATAGAAGAACCTTTTTATTAACTAGCAAAATTAAAAGAGTAGTGTTATTGAATTAACAACACAACTAAAAAAAATATACCCACCAGATTATACTATCAAAAATCATGAATTGTATGCATAGAAAGCCTTATTGCAACATACAGGATGTACTAATATAACACCCTTTGGAAAGGATTCTATGGTAACCCTTTAAAATAATAAATAGACTGGTATCATTAGGTATAAGTAGAAATTTCATTTTCACTTAAACATATAGAACCCAGTGTATAACTAATTTATATACTGCGATCATAATATTGGTGTTTCAAATTGAACCAAAAAAATATAATCGATTAGTTGGCAAAAATTTTTTGAAAAAATCAATTAAAAATTAATTGTCAACTAATCGATTAATCTATTAGTCAATTAATCGATTAATTAACTAATCAATTAGTTGATATATTAAAATAGCTTGAATATGATTTTAGAATTTTAGCTAGTCTCTGATTATAGTATTTGATATTAAAAACAATGAATTGATTAATCAATTAATTGATTAGTTTATCAATCGATTAGTTGACAACTTGATCAACTAAATAATTAATCGATTTTCAATTTGGAATACTACTTGATATAGTGACCAGCGTATAATAATCAATATATATTTATTTCTCTTATATATATATTCTCTTGTAAGTTATACTCTGAGAGAAAAATTTTAATTTATATCCAGATGCTTATATATAATAATATCATATTCGTATAGAGTACCATCCTGGATATATGGCAGAGAATCATAACCAAGCATCCCAAAAGCCATTTTCCTAAAAGAACATAATCCTGATAATATCAGAATTATGTTATTTTAAGAAAATAACTTTTAAAAAATTGTATTAAATCTGGAAAATATGGTATAAATATATATGTATAATTCTAACTCACAGTATATATAGTTTGAATTTTGGACTTGTTCAAAAGATTTAACAAAAGACCAAGCTATGATAAAGCAGTTATATGAATGTAGATGTCTTCAAACTATTCTGAAGAGTTACGAAAATATCGAGGATTAATTTTGGAATGCATTTTAGGATGCTTTAGAAAGTAATATTCGTGGAATTGATAGAAAAAGAAGAATACTGTCTATTATTGCTGATAAGCTTCCATACGATATAATCAAAAAAAAAAATACCTGTTAGTATTTGGTAACAATATTAATATAATAAATATTTTGAACAAAATTTAAATAATCGAATATTTATCTTAGGTTTCAAATTATCTAATTATTGAAGCACATCATTATATATACATTAATAGCTCAGGGGCATCCAATTGGAAAAGCCTAAGATAACTCAAGGAAAATTGGCACCTGAAAAAAAGAACAGATTGATTTTTTTTTTCAAATTAAAGCAAATATAGTAATAAGTTTTTATAAGACAGATAGTATTACCAGATTACTTGTACACTATTTAAAAGATAATAAGGAAGCATTATGGGAATGATTTTGTGAAGAGTATTCAGATAGCACTGAAAGAACAACATTTTATAAATATTTAGAAGGTGGACAATATTTATATAAAGAAGACTTAAGTAGTCTTTGCTCAATCTGTAATATGTATAGATATGAAATATTTGATGAACTCGAAGGCTAATTTAATATCATGCTGACTTGGATTATCAGGTAAGTTTATATATTATTAAAATTATACACTTCAAAATTATAAGACTTAATATCGGAAAATTTTGCAATCCGACTGGAATCGATTAAAATCTAAGGATTTTGAGCGATCCTTATCATCACCATCGATTATAATCAGTTATTTAATCAATTTTAATTGATTTTTATATATATTTATAATCGATTATTATTAATTTGATTTATTGCAGTTTGCAAAATTTTGTAAATTTTGTAAATCAAGAAAAAAAAAGAGATTGTACGATTTTTAGACGATTTCTAGATGATTTTTGATTTCTTAAGTAACTCTAATATCTAGATATGAATTGTTTTAAGAAATCAGAAATCATCTAGAAATTGCCTAAAAATTGCATGATTTCTTTTTTTTTTTAACTTGCAAAATTACAAAATTTTGCAAATCTCAATAAATCAATTACCAGCATCACCGGTGATAATAATTAGTTGAAACCAATCGATCATAATCAATTAACTGTTTGTAATCGATTATAATTGAGTTTCAAAATTTTCTAATGAACATGTCAAATGCTATTTGATACACTGTTTAATATATAATTGTCTATCAAGTAATTTTGCAAACATGCATATCTGAGAATTATATAAAAGTCTTAGACAGCATTTAACATATATCAACTTGAAATTTCATTACTAAACTAACTGATAAAATTAAATAATGATAAGAAGCAATTATTAACCGAATATAGTAACCTGCAAAGATATTTAAAAAAAGATTATGAAAATGAGTTGAAAGTTAATTCTTTTGGTTATACAAAACATGATACCTGTATTAATTATTAAATGCTTTATGCTTTTGGAGCTTGCTTAGAATCTCATGAACTAGCCTGTAATCGTTGTAGTACTTTTTTTTATCTATTTAAACAAATTAAAGAATATATATTATCTGAACTTCATATGGAATTAAAAGAGTTACAAGAAAGTTTGTTATATTATTTAGCACATCAAACCAGGAAGGTGTATTTAAACATGCAATTATATGCCTATTTAAATGAGCTTGATGAAAAAGTGCTATAATTATCGTAGACTATAAAATAAAAATTTTGTCTAAAAGTATATGCGAAACAAAGCAAGATTTTTTTGGAAAAAAAGGATAGTCATTATATTCAGTATTAATATATACTTGTCTGCCTAATAATAATAATTTGCAAGTCTGTGCTTTTGATCATTGGTCAACTGATTCATGCCAAAATGCCTAGTTCACAGCTTCTTCATTGCATGCTATAATAACTAATCTTGATTCTTAGCCAGAGTAGATTACTTTTTTATCAGATAATGGACCACACTATCATAATACTAATCTAATGATAATTATGGGATGGTAAAAGGAATGATATAATATTCATGTTAGAAAATAGATATTTCTTAAAGCAGGAGAGGCTAAAATGACAATTAATTCTCATCATGCACAGGTTTTACTATTTTTTTTTCTTTTTTTTTTATATACTTGATCTATTTATTTTACTATCTAATATTTCTAGATTTCACATACAATTAGCCGTTGTATTTGTTTAGGATTTGATATTGCACAAGGATCAGATATTGAATTAGCAATTGAAGAAATTCGTAGAACATTAGTAGCTTATTTGGAGTCAGAACGTACTAAAAGTAATGTAAAAATATAAATATATAAAAGTCATAATATTGATTTTTTTTTATTAGTTTCAGATAAAAAACAGATCAACATATTATCTGATAACTCAAACTGGTTCTTGTGGAAGTGGCTATGTGATGGTGATTATGCAGGATATATTCAGGTACGTACAATACCTAATATTGGTAAATGGAACAATTTTTCGCCTGCAAAGTTAGAAAAACTAAAAAAAAGAAAATACAAAAACCAAATTCCCAAATTTCTCAATATTCAACTTCAAAATCCCTATGGTTTGTCCTACTGTTATCTAAATCCGGTATTAATTTCTACTGCATGCTTTATAAGACATGCTAAAAATCTTCATGCTATATTCCTTAACCAACGATCTATATTTTTAGATACTTCATCTTAATATTTAACAATTGATCAGCTAGAAATATTAATTGAAGAAAAGTAAGATTAAACTTCATAATTTTATATATATATATTGATTAATAGTCATATATAATATAAAAAAACATATATAGGAAATTTCTACTACATTAGGTTGGGCGTTAAAAAAAAATCAAAAGTTCAAAAAAAAAGGAGCTAGTAAAAGAATTAGTAAACATATAATAGTTTACTTAGAAGAGTATTTCTTAGCTAGTAATGTTAATAAAAGTGAGAGATATAGCGCAGAAGAAATGCGAAAGGAATTATTAGAATTAGTAAAAGTAGGTAGTTTGGAAGAAAATAATATTCTGAAAGTGTCAACTATTCAAAACTGGATAGCAAGATATGCAGCGCAATATAAGCAAAAAATAGCTAAAATGATTTTTCAACAATAATAACTAATAGAAAGCTATATATATATGTATTTAAATTGCAAAAAATTATAAATTTTAAAGAGTAGAATCTGACGTTTTCCCAATATAAAGTTTTTAAAATTAAATCGTTTCGAAAAAAAAAACTAGATTAATCGTTATGATCTGCATTATCGTCTGTACTACTATTTAATTTAATAAAAATTTTATATAGTATAGTTATATATAAAGCGAAGATTTGTCATTTTTACTTTTTTTATAAATGATCTGCAATATTTTCTCCGAGATTTACTAATTAATTTTACTAGTTCTTATACAGATCATGAATTAATTCATATAATCTTTAATAAACAATCCACGAGTCATCTAAACAAAAATTTTTTTTTATATGTAAATTTTACTATAAGTCCGAATGTGCTTCTATCTAAAACCTTTTTTTTACTAAGTAAATTACTCTTGGGCTTGTAACAAAAGTTGTAAAGCTCATCAAGATACATCTAATGGTAGTAAGAACGTTAAAATTGGTCTGGTAGTTCTTGAAAAATCTTTAAAAAACTTCTTTCTCACATATAAAATTTCTTTAAAAAAAATCGATTTTTTTTAAAGAAA